CCTAACTATACATTAACAAGCATAAAATTTGACAAGCCAGTGAGTTGGTATGCTTTAGTAAAGTTAGTAAATTCCAAAGTGAAACAGTATATTCGTAAGTGATATTTGAACATTTTAAAAGTGAATTTCTAAAATTATAAGAAACAATCTATCCCCAAGTGGGGATTTTATGTTCTCCCAACTGACATTAACAATATTCTGATATCATGATAGTGATTTCAACAGTGAAGATACTTTATTTTTCAAGTGGTCTAACTATAACAAGTATGAATTTGACAAGTCAGTGGGTTGATATTTTTGAGTAAAGTTAATAAATTCTTAAGTCATTTTTTTATATTTATATGTGACCTTGGAACGTCTCAAAAGTGCATTTTTTTCATGCTAGAAAATAATTTATTCTCAAGTGGGGTTCCCTATTTTCCTAACTAATAATAACAATATTCCCATACCATGATAATGATTTCAGTAATGTTATGTTATCAAAGCATATATATTGGCACATATTTAAACTTGAAATAGACATCAGCATTACATTACATTACATTAATTTTAGTATATATACACAATATTTGCATTCTTTTTTACATAAAAAATATCCCATCCACCTAAATGATAATTGTGCAGTTTGCTTCTTAAAAACTTACTTAGACTGCAAACCTATTTTTATAATTTGTCTCCACCACAAGTATAAAAAATATAGTATGAGTGTTTGTACCAAAAGTCATTCAATAGCAAAACACATTAAATAAATAAAAATCAAATGCATTTCAATTTCAAACCAATTGATATGTATATAATTTTCACACCCTTTCAATCCTACATTGCATTGGGATTCCTACATCTATTTTTGGTATGTCTAGCTTGATTATATCTTGAGCAATAATACATCTTGATCTTGATTACATCTGGAGCAATGATATTCTTGCTAGTGATGATATCATCCTCAACAACTCTTAATGTTGTATGCCTTCTCTAATCAATTTAAAAATTAATCTCCCACCTTCATAGGTCATCTTTCCTTGTAAATCTTTTACAAAGTGTCTTTCAATGTGAAACTAACAAAATATTTCTTTTGCAAAATTACTTGCCATATGAGAAATTTATTGCTTCACAACCATCCTTCCAGTAATCTCAGCTATGACTTTAATAATTCAGCATCTTTAAACATTAATGCATTTTTTTTCATAGATTTTTTTTTGCAACATGATGATAAGAAAACAATATAGTTCTTTTTTTCACTCAATTTTTTCATCATTATCTTTGTCAGAAATTACAATACTCTCATATTTTCTTGTTTATATATGTGTGTGTGTGTGTGTGTGTGTGTGTGTGTGTGTGTGTGTAATCATCAATAAGATTACTTTTTCTCCCCAACTATACAAGAAAAATAGTGTAAAATGGAGCATTTATCCCATACACAACAAATAATCACATTGGTTTAACAACAAAGATAGAGAAGAGGGAAAAATATAAGAGTTAAGAAAAAGAAGCAACACATGTACTTACATATTACCAAGAGGGGAGAAGATGACGACCTAGATGGCAATCCATGTAAAATATTCCTTATCTAATCATGGTTAGCTAACAAATCTAAGGTGATCAAGGGATTAATCCACAAGAGATTGTCAAGTTTGAAATTTGTAAAAGTTGGATCCTAAGTTTTCATAGTTTAAAATAAGTAAAAATCATTTATTAAACTTTTTATAAGGGTCAAATAATATTTTGAAAGCATGGGATGCTTTAGAAGAGTAAAGGAAATTAAAAAAAATTGAAAAACAACAAGTAGTTGAAAAACAAGGGGATACACCATAGCATGTTGCACGGTATTAGATAGCATTTTTGATGTCATCTAATAGTAGATCTGGGTAACTTTTGATGTGCCCCATTACTCTGTTCGAAGTTCGAATAAGGTGATCTAAAATTCCATAATTTATTTCACTTTCACACGCATCATCTTGAGTTACAGGATACATTGTCATAAGACACAAAAATAACTTAAGTTATTATGACAACTTTCCACAAATTTAAACAATCATGTGACATGTTAGATAATTACATATGCATGATCAAACTATCGTATAACCTCCTTATATCTTCTGATTAAAACTATGTGCTATAATATTAAACAGGACTCTGTTTGTTTGATTGGACTACTTGAGCTTACCAATCATGAGGTGTGACCTAAACAAAAATCATAGAACTCAGTTTTGAACCACAATTTTTCCCACTCTCAAATCTTTAGGGTGTCATATACCCTAAGCTAACCTCCTTAGTGAACTGGTAGAGATAGCTAGGTTTTAGTCTCTTAACAAATTATAAGATAGTCCCTCAACAAACAATGGGACAAGGCTATGGCTTCGTGCACAGGAAGGTAGCCATAAGTACCATGTGAATTTTAACTACTCCTCTCCCTAAGTGAACTCTAGCCAACTAATCATGTAATGTATAATACTCACTCATTTCACAATTTCATTTATTAAATATTAACACATTAGGCATATGAAAACACACTACCCAAGTGAGTATCAATGTCATATTCACAACATTCTCCTTTTCAACTCTAAGTTCCATAACAAATCTCAAGTTTCCATTTAGTTACACAAGTAATACTTCTCATGTTACACGAACATACTAACAACATATCGCCTATTGTAAAATTCTCATTCTAATTATAAGTCATAATTTGAAAATCATTTGAGTCCAACTCCACATTTTAGTCATATCAAAGTTAATACAATATCACATGATTTATAGCATGCTCTCACATTATAAATCAATTATACAAGCAAATAAACCCATTTTTACATTATAATACAATCAATAAACAACTATCCAAGGTAAGTTTTTCCTTGATTACTTCAAATCTTTAAGAGGTCAAAGATTTATCCCTCAATAACTAGCTTTCAAGCTTGTTTTTCAAGCCCAAAGTAGTGCTTGGATGATTAATTTACAATTAATTAAGTCTAAACTTAATCAATAATACCAAAAACACATTTTCAACTCTGATTTTTCACTTTTAAAATATCCAATACCCTTATTTCTCACATTTAGGCTTACCCATTATATATATTAATTTTTTGTAGCTCACAATAACTTCATTAAATTCTCACATTGTCATTAATGGCTCAACGAGCTTCATAAATTTCAAATTTAATACCCGTTTTTAGACATTAATGACACTCACCAACCAATAACTTCTAAAACCATTCATACCAGGTTTAAATATTCTAAATAACTTCTATTAACTTTATTTAAATCAATGGGTTTGAATCCGTAACTTATATGAATCAAAAATCATCATCCCATCCCAAACCCTAATTTTAATCCTTATTAAAATGAAGAGTAAGGGAGCAAAAGGGTTTAGGAATCTTACCTCAGGTGATTTGGAGCTTCAAACCCTCTTAAATCCATCCCAAAGTCATGCCCTTGTAGAGCCCTCTTCATTGTCTTCATTTTTCTCTCACACTCTTCTATTTTTGACACTGATTCATGACTAAATTCTACAGAATTCACATCATGCATTGCGGCACATGTATTATATGCCACAGTGTATGGTACAAAAAGGGGTCACTCTACTTGTTTTGGCCTCATACATCACGAGTCAACATGAATGCATTGCGGCAAGTGACACAAAAGCTTTTCTCCTTCTTTTTCTCCACTTTTAATGCCCAAGTGACCTAATCTCACCTTGGACCTACATTTAAACTTGAAATCTCAACTAAAAACATTCATTAGTCTCCTTTGATCACACACCATATAAAATCATACTTAATTACCCTTAATTAGGTTTATTATTAGGGAGTAAATCTTCAGGATGTTATAATCCACTCCACTAAAGACTAAGATGGAAGGCAATGAGGGTAGTGAGTAGAATGTGGGAGAAAATTTTTCACGTTTAGTAGCTAGTACAATATGATCAACTCCACTAAAGATTTTTTTTTTCTAGATGTAATTAATTTTTAGTGTTTAGTAGAGGACAATTTTAAAAGTTATATATATTTTTTATTCTAAGTAAGAACCATGGTTATTTAGTGAGATTTTAATATTTTATGGTCTTCAATTAAAATTAATAACCTTAGGCAATTCTTGATTGTCATTTTTCCTTTATATTATCCCTAACAATGAAATATTAAAAAAAGAATACAAAAACCCCTTGTTCATCCTTATGTTGCACTCGCTTGATGGTGCTTCCCACTTGATTAGAGCTGGAAAAACGGGTTGAACCTACGGGCCAGCCTGTTTAACTTGCAAAATTTAATGAGTTGAGTTAAACAAATTAGCTTGTTTTTTAAAACGGATCGGGCTAGCCCAATCTGAAAAACTAGTTGGCTAACCTACGGCCTAGCATATTTTTTTAAAAATAATTTTTTATTTTTTAATCATATTACATCTTTTTCTAAATCTATAGTAATGACTATATTTCTTGAATATATAATTTATGACTCCCAAATATATTATTTTTATAAAAAATATAGTGTAAATTCTTTTTACAATTTGAAAATAAAATTTTTGTTATAGTTTATAAATAGATGATTTATTAGTTTTTATAGAAATATTTTAAATATATATATTATTTATTAATCTCATAAGATCTATTAATTAAAATTATAAATATAAATTTATTAAAAAATAATATGAGTTTATATTTAAATTTTTTTTCTCAGTGAGAAAAATAACACACCCAAGTGAGAAGATAATTAATAATAAAAATCTAGCAAAATAAATTTGTTTAGTTCAATTTTATGTTTATTTTATTTATTTATTTTTTTAATTACTAATTTAATTTAAAATATAAATTAAATATATATATTTATATTATATAAATTTTAAATTGTTAAAATAATTTTTATAAATTTTTGCAGGCCAATCTGTTAAAAATGAATTAGGTTGACTTTTTTAATTTATTTTATCTGATGGGCTGACTCAATTCAATTCAAAAAAACAAAATGTCAGCCCGCTGGCCCGTTAACGGGTCGAGGTATTTCCGTGAGGTAGCGTGAGTTTGACGCAGAAGCGAGTTGGTGGAGGCGGTGATCAGAGATGGATCCAGACGCTCTGGCAAAGGCCTTCGTGGAGCACTACTACTCTACCTTCGACACCAATCGTGCCGGTCTCGCCAATCTCTACCAGGATGGCTCCATGTTGACCTTCGAAGGCCAGAAGATCCAAGGCGCTCAGAACATTGTTGCCAAGCTCACTAGTCTCCCCTTCCAGCAGTGCCAGCACAGCATCACCACCGTTGATTGCCAGCCCTCCGGCGTCAACGGCGGCATGCTTGTCTTCGTCAGCGGCAACCTCCAGCTTGCCGGTGAACAGCACGCCCTTAAGTTCAGCCAGGTTGGTTTGATTTCTTCCTCAATGGAGCGGGATCCCTGGATTCATCCCGTTAGGGTTTCTGATTTTGTTGTCGTTATGGTATTTTAGATGCTCCCCGGTCGGGTTCGGTTGGGTCGGTTTCTCAATGCACCGATTCTATTGTTTGATTTGATGACATGCCATTTTGAAGTCTGTGCTTTTGATAAGTGACGATACGTATTTCCCGTCTCAAAAGTAATCGTACTGGATCTGCCTTGAATCGTAGTGTCCAATACTCCTCTCACACTTTTCGCTTATAGTTCTGGATCCAGTTTTTGCTAGTGTTTACTTTATGCTGTTTCTGTGTCGGTAGATCTAAAATTTCCCCCGTTTGGTTCATTTCCCTATTGTTTCATGTCTCTCCTTGTATGTCATCTAATTAAAACTCAATTGTTAAATAACTCCATATCATTTCGAAGTGATGGGTCGGGGACCATGACATATTTAGTTATTGTCGCCGTCTGTTTTTTTTTTTTTTTGTGTGCGTGTGCTTGTTGCATTTGTTTTCATAATTGTTTTACATGGGACTAAAGCTGTGGAGGAGTGTTGTTGGATAGTGTGTCATAGGTCGATGGCGTGTGGCTTACTATTGTAATAGAAGCTTCTGGGGTTATAGGCCACACAGCAGCAACTTTGGTGCACATAATTTTGCAATTCAACATTTGCATAAAAGACGAGTAGATTAGCTATATATACAATAATATATCCAAAGAACAAGTTAAACAATTTGGTGATGACATGTGGTGCATTGTACGCCATGATGTGTGACTGTAAGTGCGCCCTTGCATGCGTGTATATTGATGTAGAAGGAGCTCTAGCATGTTAACTCCCTTTTTGGATTCCTGCTACCTTCAACTTTCACACGTTTTTTAAACTTATAATCTAGATATTTGTGGTTTCTTGAAAGTTTTTGAGCATGTTTCTGAACATAGAAGCATTTTGGTGGGTAAACCATCAACTTTAACTGTATATTATAATATGTACTAAGCCATAAACTGTCATGTCACCCGAGTGAACTTTACTTTGTAATGTTTCTTGGCCAGACTGTCGAGGATCAAGCACGGGGTTATGCATAAGTGTATACTATGGTCAAGTTCTAACAACAGTTGTGAGGCTTTGCTAATAGCTCAAGACTTATGATGAGTGAGTGCAAGCATGATGTGTTATTCTCTAGACACATTTGGCGTGCACTGTGAGCCATGACCCTAATTTTAACTTAAATGAATGGAGATAATGAGAAGAAAGAAACTAATTAGGAGAGATGGAATTTAGAAGAATAAAGTAGGAGGTGGAACCATGAAATTAAAGAAGGTAGAGATGAAGGAACTAAGAGGGAGAGAGGATAGGAAAGAATTGAAGAAGAAACAGGGAGAAGAATTAAAGCCTTATCCAGGAAGGCTTTGAGAGAGGATAAAAGAAATGAGTGAGCCATTGAGGGACTGGAGTGTGCAAACAGAGATTAAGAAAACCTCAAAACTCAGATATTGCCCTTTTGCATGTGTAGCATTGCACAAAATGACAATTGCAATGCCATGTGTTGTGCGTCTCATTGCACTTCCAAGTATCAACAACCATGGATGATGATTTTCTTAGAGTGGATTTCTGTTTAATCTGCCATTGATGTTTATTTCTTCTTTCAATTCATTAAATACGTGTTTCTGAAGTAATTTTCTTTCAACAAAAAGTCTAAGTTAACTGAATGATGCTTTTTGGTTGGGCGACTTTGTACTTTCTATTGTATGGACATAGCCTCTTAAATAAATGCCAAGGGGTGTATGCTTTGCCACCCCCCTCTCTGTTCTTTTGAAGGTAAGGTGAAAAAAAGGTTGAGGTATTTTTGTTTGTCTTGGCAGGATAGGGCTGGTTTATATCAGTTCATCTAAGCAACAATTTTAATGGGGTTTGTAGCCTGGTGTTGTGTTTTCTCCCTTTATTTTCCCCTTTGGCCCTTTCCATCTCTATCTATCTCCTTTTTGGAGGCATGTTGTTATATGCTCATTTTGTTAAGGTAGTATTACTATTTGTTTGGTTACATGTGCTCTGATGGCCTATGTGTAATATTTCTATTTTCATAATGGATTTTCATGCCAACTTTAGATTGTCAAGAATTGTTTATTTTGGGGAATGGTGTACCTTGTTGAAATTACCTGTATCCTTTTACCCACTTGGGACCTGCATGTGGAATATTTCGAAGTGTTTTTAAAATCTTCTCATATAATATAATGTCTGTCTATACGTGTGATACTTGCTATGTATTGCATCCAGACCCAATTAGATGCTTACTAAAGAATAGGATATGGGGGCAAATTTTGGCTGTTTTAAATCAATTTTTGTGTAGTTCTCATGAAGTTGCCCACGCTTTTCTGTAATAATTACTTAAAATATGATTTTTTGTTGTGTTTTAATTTAGAGATATTATTGTCTCTCGTGCTTTCAGATGTTCCATTTGATACCAACAGCGCAAGGAAGCTACTATGTGTTGAATGACGTATTCCGTTTGAATTATGCTTGAAAGTAGACCATGCAACGTGACCTGAAAGGTCGTTGAAGAAGTTTGACTAATAGCTTCGCTTTGGAGTTTGGTCATTTGAAACTGAAAATGTTTTTTTTTTTTTTTTTGGTGTGTGGAACGCTTGTGTTCTGTTTAGAAATTTCTGTTTGATTTGTTAAAATACTTTTAAGGATAAATTGTTCTAAATGCATGGTACCGGATATTTACATTTTATATCTCCATATGTCTCGTATGAGATATGGACCCCCAAGTGTTGGGAATTTTTCGCCTCTGTCAAATTGGATATACGGTGTCATTGATGTTCTCATTCTTCCTGACTGCTAAGATTAAACGTTAATTTCTTTGCACGTTAATGGTGTCATTGATAATCCGGAAGAAAAAAAATGCTTTTTTTTTTTAAAGTGGATCCAGCGTAAGTATGGTAATAGAGCTGAACGTCAATGGGATCAAATCTTGGGAAGAATTTTCTAAGCCGCTTCTTGCTGATGCAGAAAAGAGTCATGAAGCTCTCATAATGGCTCTTCTGGTAAAGCTAATATTAGAATTGGTGTTAGATCACACATGATTTACCCTTATTGAAACTTTTGGAAGGTCACTGTTACCTCAACTCTTGCCTTCGAATGCTGATTTGGCAGAACTGCCTCATATGATGCAGACCAAGAATATTATGCTGCACATTCTTCACTTGCTTTGATTCTTGTCCGGGAGAAAAAGTAGGGGAGAAAACTCTCCGTAAAATAATTTATTATAACAACAATGAGTTTTATTTTATTAGATGGAGTTGGTTATATGGATTATAAAATGTTATTGTGCTTTATCATTTATTAAATTTTTAAAAATATTATTAAAAAATCCTGCTCAAAAACTTTTAAAAATATTTTCTTCGATGAGTTTGGTCTTTTTCTACTTTTTTTGATAGAGTTTAAAGTTATTTATTTCACTCTTTTTATAGTTACCTTTGATCTAATAAAAAAATTTATTATGCATAGAGATTTTGCCTCCTAATTTTCTCCTCTTCTTTTTTTCTTCCTATTTTTCTCTCTATCTAAACCAAGTTCTCTTCTGCAAAGGTGGAGTACCCAAGTTGTCTATTATCTCAACAAAGGGATGAAGCATCAGTAAAGGCTTATTTAGTAATTTATTTTGAGAATAGTTTTTTATTTGATAATGTGTTTTTAAAACGTGTGTTAGAAAACAAAAAAAATAAAATATTGTTATAAAAAACAGAAAAATAGAAATAACTTTTAACTGTTTTAAGATTATTGTGTTGAAGAATAAGAAAAAATGAAAAAAATATTTATTTTTATTATTTTTTTATTTTTAAAATATATTTTATAAAATATTAATTTTTAAAATAATAAAATAAAAATAATTTTAAACAGGCTAAGTTTTCTGGTTTTTCTGAGGCTTCTGATTTTTTTCCTTCGTTGTGTTTCCTTCTTGGTCTTCGGCTTCTGCTTTCTGGTCCATTCGTTTCCTCGTATCATTATGCTCTCCTGAGTCAGTTATTTATATCACAATCCGCGGTGTCTCGTACTACCATCCATTTTTGGCTTTTCCCTCGCAATGGATGATGACCTTTTCTAAAAGTTTGCGTTCAGGGTCAAATAACATGGGATAGTAGAATAGTACGAATTGTCAGTCCTCATTGAAGTAGTAATTTTGTAAAAGAATCTTCCAGATACGGAAGTTGCTTCGGTCAAACTGTTCATATATATATATATAATATATTATGGAGTGAGAAGGGAAAATTTCATTCAAAAGAATACTGTTCATCATCAGAACACGGTTTCCAAAAAATAACCTAAGCTCCAACAGGTAACAGAAAGGTGAGACAATATCAGATTAGGTGACATCATTAACAAGGCAAAAAACGTCGCAAAAATAACCTTTAGTTCGTCATATCCCCCAGTTTCCAGGATAAAATACCAAAGGTAATTTGCCAACTGACGGAACTGTTCATAATTTCGGGAGAGGGGTCCCCATCACCATTTTCACTTTACTTTTTAATTATGACCATTCATAAAATTAATGATTAAAATAAATTCATTTAATACAATGATATAAATAGTCATGATTATAAAGTAAAAGGAAAAAATGATAAAAAAAAAAATGGAGAGATCTTGCACCATAATTTCTATATAAATTGAGCTCTTAGAACACTAACGAGTTTTTTATTCAGCAAAAGGGACGCATCCACGTGTTTCAAATCAGGCATAACTGATTATTCTATTTTTGTTTTCAAAAAGTTCTATTTTTCACCTTTTACGATAAGGGTTCCAATTTCTCTTTTGAACCATGCCTAATAGCAATTTGTCCTTTAAATACGGCATAGAAAGTGGATTTTGCATTTTCCTGGAATGTTTGCAGACATCCATTGTTAAACCTGACAGAGAAAAACATTACATCGCACAAACTAACGAGTGAAATAAAAGAAAGCAGCATCTGCCATTTAGACATGTAATACCTTGAAAATAATCCTTGAATTGGTAGGCACGTGAGAACAGGAAGAGCCACTAGTCTGTATGTTTTGGTCCCCTCCATTTAGTCTCACCTTCAAGTTTCAACCACTTTTCAGACAATGACTAGAAACAATAAAACTGGATTCATTCTCCAATATTGGAACCTAAATTTGGAATATCCACTTGAGGCATATCTGGAATCTTCAGAGAAGGAAGAACTGGAGATTCTGATTGGTCTTCTTTATCATCTGCTCCCTGCCCATTCATATCAGGGGCTCTGAACATCCCTGTAAACAGACTTCCAAAGGCTCTAAATGGGTGATTCAGTCCATCTTTCACTTTCAAAACAAGAGAAACCTCTGATATTTGCCAAGTTACAGTGAGGACAATCATGACCGAAAGAAGACAATGAGTAATAAAATTCTGCCTTTTCAACTTCTTCAGCTCTTTCACTATTTCATCATTTCCTGAACATGTCTCATCTACTTCACCAAGTTTGACATTCTTATTTTCTATTTCTTCAGTTGCAGAAGGCACCAGCTCTGTGGGGCCAGAGGCTTCAGATTGCTCAAGTGCACCTTCTCCTTTCAACATCTCCAACTGTGAATTATTCGAGTAAGGGTATATATGATTTGTCTCTTCATGTTCATTAGCACCCATCAAATCTCAACCATTTACCATATGAACAATATTATTCAATACAGTAGACCGAGAATGAAGGAAAACTATACAGCTATTCAAGAAAGACCATATGCATGGATGGATAGTCAAAAACAAATGGACAGAACAAAGCTCATCAAAACGCTCAAAAGCCTGCACATTATCTCCATATAATTTCACCACTATTTGGCCTTTTCGTAGGGAAAATAGTAAGAAGTATTACTTTGAACAAGTGACAAGCACATCAAAACAGTAGATCATGAATATCGATTGAATACAAACAGAAGAAAATTAACAAATAAGTCAGGAGGAGTGTTAGAGCTACTATACAATTTACATTCGTTCTTACACTAATCAGTAATCACAAAAGCAGGCCAGTCAAACGATCAATATAACAAAATAAAAAGCTGTACTTTTTTTTAATAAAGATAAAAAGTTGTACTTTACATAAATCATAAACAAAGCATTTTTTTTTAAAATTTCATGAAACTTTTTTTTTTAATTCTTTCAATATTTTTCCCCATATGTTTCATAGTATTCTATTGCATTTGGAACTGGAAACTTCATTTTTATTTATTCAATATTTTAATGGGGTTTGAATATTAGAAAGTGAAGTGTAAATCTTGAAAAATCTTTAAGTTACCATCTTTCATGTGCTTAAGAGAAAAGATCTCCACCTGTATACAAAATCAATCATGAAATTGAAATCGTGGACACCATTTATAAGAGGAATTCTATCTGCCTCTGTGCCAAACAGCTAGCCATTAATGAAAACAAGTTTATCAGAAATGCATCAGGAAGATATATTGATACGATCAGACGTAGCGACCAGAAATCTCGAAACTGCGCCCATGCCATTGAACAATCAAAATTGGGTTAGAGCCTAACCAGAAACATGTTGCAAAGAGCATACACAATACATTAGGCCAATTCGGCAGCAAGAGCGAACTTAAAACACACAACCCGATACAGAGACTCTGGAACTTAGCCTATAAATCGATGGTGGTCGAACAACACAAACGAGGTCTGAGACCAAACTGATTATGATCGGCACGATAATCATAACGACTGGAAGGAATAAAAACACTAGAAATCTGTTTCAACGTATGAAGAAATTACTATCGGTGAAGGAATCCTACCTCAGAGAGTAGTCGGGAAAGAGCGAGTTGGTATTCGGCATCATCGTCTTGAGCGTCAAGACATTGATTCCTCTTCTCTTCAGTAAGATTCTGAATCGCGAGGCTGATCAGCTCAAGCTTCTGATTTTGCTCCATGGACAGAGACGTCCCCAGATTTTTTCTTCTTCTTTCGGATATCAAACTCACGTTCCTCAATCCTCACCGCCAACTACTACAGTCTCTTGAGAGATACATTTTTGCTTCCTAATTCTTTTATTATTATTATTATTATTATTATTATTATCTAAATACCTTTTGCTACTGAATTCTTATCCGAGTGAGTTGCGTGAGTCTTGTGAGTTGTGACCGTGTTAGTGTCATTGCTTTTCAGCTCGCAAAAGTTGGTTTACGAAAAGTTAGTTTGTCAAAATTAAAGCTCGGTAATAGTAATTAATGTTTGGATACATTTTGTGAAGAAAAAAAATTGAAGTGTGCCCCTTAACTATTTGTTCAAGTTTGACACAAACTTTTATATGGTACAAGCATCTGCCATTAAAAAAAAAAATGTCAACTTTAATTATTAATTAACTTAAAAATTATAAAGAAGTACCTCAAATATTACATAAAAAAGGAAAGTGTCAAAAAAGTAAAGAGAAGTGGATAAATTGGCTTACTAGCCAAAAAAAAAAAAAATCATGTGTCTAGAAAAATATAGACCAAATTTTTGACAATTTGAAAATATGATCGGTTTACATTGATATATAAAAGATATATCATTAAAAATTAAAAAATTTATAAAAAGTTTATTGTTGATAAACAATTGTATATCATTGACAAATATAAAAAATTGACTATAATGCAAAATATAAAAAATGTTGAACTATTTATTTAATTTGGTTTATGATATGGGTTATATCTATAAAAGTATCAAGAAAAGTATCATATATAAAAATTAATACCAATTAAGCTTCATAAATTATATATTATATATAAACACCAAGATACAAATTAAATCTTATTTCTTATCCATGTAAAATATTAAGATATGATTTTTGTAAAATCTTCTTTACTTATACACATTTAACTCCAAAATTGAGATAATTATGAGACTAACCCAAGTAAATTATCAAATTTATAAAATTTACATAAATAGAATTCCAAGTTTTTTTAAACTTAACATGCTAAAAAAAATCATTTTATGAACTAAAATTAAAGCAAAACATATATGCGGAAGCATGGATATCACACAAAGTAAAATAACATCAAGTTGGGGTCAAAAGAACAAAAATAGTGATTTTAACATAATATGCTATAGCATAAAATTTTATGTTGTGGCATAAAATATAGAAACAAAGCTATCATGGCAGATTTTCTGATCGAATTTTTGACCCATCTCTTATCTCTGTCCAATGTCCAATTGAGTTATTCTAAATGTTTACAGAAAGCTTTCTCCAAACTCTAGCTAATGGCATTAGTTTTACTTTCAAATCATTTCTCAATCAAAAGTTGGACACCAAAATGTAAACTTACTCAATTATGCTTTCAAAACATAATTAAGATGCTTAAAATCACAACTAAGTGCTATAAGCTCACAACCATCCCTAGACCATACTCAATCAACTTAACAAGATTTGTGCAACACACCACAACACTCCAACAACATGTATAACACATTTTTAATACTTAGCCCCTTAATCTAAAAAATGACAGGGGGAGTCTCAATCATGTAATCTCACATTTAAATCACCATCATTCACAAATATACTCACTCCTTACTTATATAAATATTTTAGCCCTATTCAGATTTCACATTTAATTCACATACAACTTAGGGCCCAAAATACAGAAATTAAATCAAGAATCAAATAATGCAAGTAAGCAAAAACATGCAATCTACTAGTTGGCATTGTCAAGATAAATTGTACACATAAACTATTAAATAAATTAGGCCTACAAATGTAGGATAAAAATCCTAAGCCTCTAACTATTTTTCTCGGTCCTATCCTGATGAGCTAGTTCTTGTAATATTGAAGAGAGAGGAGTAAGTACAACCATTCAGTAACCAAGATTAATCTAGCTTATATAAATACATGTTGATTAATCATAGTGATACAAATGGCATATTCAAATGAAACATATTTATGTATAAACCACCCAATTCATATAGTTACAAAATTAACAACCATGTGACATTAGATTATTTAGCATGCAAGGGTTACAACACTAATAACCATATGACATTTATAAAACTTGCAAGACCACAAAAATAACAATCATGTGATCATATAATGATATGCATGATCAATACTAATCATACCCTCCTGGTCCCTCCAACATGAAATCGGTGGCTATTTAGTGGGATTCATTCTTATCATCGGACTGCCCAAGCCTTCCACTTGTGAGAAGCTACTCAGCCGAGACTACTATACTCACTTGTAAGTTACAATTTCTCCCAATATTAACAACTATAGGGTGTCGTACCCTTAATCTAACCTCCTCATGAACCGATGGAGACTAATTAGGTTCGAGTCCCTCAATGAACAAATAAGATAGTGCCTCACAGAACAAGTGTGACAATCAAATAAAGAGGCAAGCCATCAAGCTCCGAATGGCAGCCCTATCACATGAATTTTCAATATTTACTCTTCTTCCTACAAGCGAAACCCCTGCCTCCTATAATCATGCAATGAAATCATGGCTAACACATAATATATGCAATCATTCATCAAGTTCTCTACATGGCATACACATATTATACTCATTATCATTATTCTCATACTCTGCTACACTCCCATCACAATTTCATCACTTCTCAAATTCATGTTTTCTTCAAATCATGCTTAAACAAAGCATAAGAAATAATTTCACACAATCAAATTCTTTTTCACAATAAAACCATTAAATATTAACTGTATGCCACAATTTGCATTCTTTCATATATTCAAAAATATACTCATATCTTTTATTCAATTATAAATAGTTATACCTAATTGACAAATAAATATACAAATTAAATTTTTCCTTGTTATCATAAACCTTTGAGAGGTATAAGATCTATCCCTTAATAAAAGCTATTCACAACCTTTACCAAAGCTTGAATGGTGGACAAGATAATTAATCTATAATTAATCATATCAATTATTATTAATATCATCATAAACACTATTCTAACTTTTATTAATCAACACTTTAATTACCTAAAATTTCAATCTTTTTCACTTAAGTATAACAATTAGGTTTATTAACTCCATTTAGCTTTGATTCACTTAAATAATCACTAATATAACACTTAACAATCCAAAATCACACTTTAAAAATCTAAAGTTTGTCCAAAATGAATGACTTGAGCTTGCAACCTTATAAAAACTTCTAAATTATTTGTAGAATGCTTAAATAACTCCTATTAGTTTCATTTAGACCAATGGACTTGAACCCATAACCTTAAATTTGAAAATCCTCATCTTTTAATCTCAAATCTCACTTACAAAATGCATAGAGAGAATAAGAGATAAAGAAGACATACCTAAATGAAACCAAGCTCCAAGCACCCCCAAAATGCCCAAAAGTTAATGCCCTAGCAAATAAAATATCCACTTTGTCACACTCTCTCTGTTTTCTAGTCTCACTCTTTATTTTTGAACTGATTTCACATTTTTTAAAAAAAATGGTTTAAAAAATTATGTTGCAGCGTAAATTGTTAGGTTGCAGCATAACGTACGGTGGATTAAAAATTTAATTTTCCTTTACAATTTAAGTCCAAATGACCCAATTCACTTTAAAAACTAATCCAAAGATTAAAGCCAAATGCAATAGCTGTCTCTAACTATCCTCAAACTTAATTATACTTAAATTTACATAATTATCTTTCATTAGATTAAGAAATCATAGGACTAATTTTTGGGAGATTACAATTTTGACCAACCACTTTAACTAGTACTAAGTAATTAATGGATCACAATTGCAAACAAAAACACAAATAAAAATTTTTAAAAATATTATATTTATTTTAATAATATCATATTAAAATATTAAAATTCTAATATATAATGACTTAAATATTATTACTATTTAAAAATCTTCACACATAATTTACATGTTAACTTTTGATATCTACACATTCTTTAAAAATTTACAACTTAACTAGTGTATCTATTGTTTATAAATGAATGCATTTTTTATACTAGTTGTAAATTTTTTAAGGAGGACTTATATATTTTGGAGGAAAACTTATAAATTATCGCATACTTTAGGAATTTAATTTATAGGAAATTTATTTGTAATTTTATAAGTCATTTTCTTTAATTTTGACGTTATTTTTTTCTAATTTTTTGGGTCAACTAATGATCAAATTTAATATTTTTTATAGTAGGGTGTCTAGTGCATTTTTTTAGATGTTGAGGAGAAAAAATGTGTCACATGTATGTTTAAGATATTAAAAGTTTCTGAGTAAATAATTGAATAGCAAAAATACCCTCTAACCTTTTCATAAAATGTTAGGTTATTACATTTTTTGATTGCTTATGGATTTTTTTATTAAAGGTAATCCTATTTAAGGCAATTAAATGTGGGTACTAAATAGGTGATTACATTTTGCAAGGAGTAAATGTGATAAATAGAAAGTTGCTTGAGTACATTTTTATGTGTGGAAGAAGATAACATGTGAAAAATGTTAGGGGATATTTGAATTGATAGTTTTGTATATTTTATTTAAACTTTTATATTTAAAATTTCATATTTAAAATTTGTGCATTTTAATTTTTTGAATTTTTTTGAGTAATGTAAAAAAATTCTTCAAAAAAAGAAATAAGGTGAAATTGGAAACAAATATGGAATATTGATAATGACAAACTTACCTTCATTTCTCCATCGGCCAGTGACAAGAACAAGATATAAAAGATAAAAAAAAAAGACAAAAGTGATAGAGACACTAACAACAAAAACATGAAGAGAATGAAATGAATGAATTTTTAAATAATAAGGATATAATGGGAATATGAATTTTTTTTTTGTTGTTATAAGGAGATTTTTTTCTCAAATTCAAATTCAAATATAAATTCTCATTCATCCGAACACAACATTATAAAATTTTAAAAGTTAAAAATTAAAGGAAGAATAATAGTTATACCCTTCGATCTTATTTATAATGCCTATTTTAAAAGGTTCATTTGGTCTCATTTATGAATTCAGTACAACTTTTTGTGTAATATTTAAAAATATTTTTAAAATTACCCTTCATAAGAGAGAAGAAA